TTTCACTATTAACTAGGGGAACATACGAACCCTCCAAGATGTTTCTAAAGGGATAACATTACTCATGTAGTCTTACAGTATGTGCCACAATTCTGCGAATATTGCCATCTTAACCTACTAAAGTCAATTCTTCAAACATATTTTTGCATCGGGCCCACACAAGAACGCCGATCATGAAAATATGACGGTCAGACACCGAGTCCAACCAAACGAAGCCTTTCAGGTCGTCTATCGAAAACCAGTCAACTTCTCGCGTGCTAGGAGGTGACTATATGCTAGCAAATAAAGTGAGTCGCTGCCAGCAGACGCTATTACAGAGGGTTCCTCTTCCGTGGGCGTTGCCGACGTCCGGTGCTGATCGCTTATCCCACCTGGAACGACAGTTTTTCCTTCCGCGCACTTGAAAATGAGCTTCACTACCCCGTACTTGACTTACGAACATTGCCTTCAGCTTACCTTACTTCAACGTCCCCCAGCTCCAATGACCTCAACATGCCGACTCGGCCATGCAAGTGGCGTTATAACGAGTGCTAGTAGTAGTATAAATGTTATCGAGCCCTCGAATTTCATTGAATATATCTATGTAGATCAGAAGGGGAATGTATTCCGAGCGATGTACTGAAGAAAAGAAGAGGTTCTTCGGAAAAATAAAGGTGTACTTGTGAATGTTCGAGCTCGTGACACGTGCTCTCTATCAGGCGAATTAAAAGGAAGTAACGGAGAAAGATTACAAAAGACAGTTTAAGCGATATCGACAGTTGGACCAGTGGCGTTTGAGGTGGATCATTGAGCGGCGTGCGGTTGGGAGGGGAAGAGCGGATGGTGAGTCGGCAGCTTTGACGGTGGGGCTGCGTGTTTGTGGGTGGTGTGTGGTTGGAAGGGGGAGGGCGGATGGTGAGTCCGTAGGTGTCGATGTGATCAAGTTAGCGGTCGTCGATGTGTGAATAGGGCGGGGTACGGTAAGTTTTGATCTTAAGTCATCGTATTGGTCCTTCAAATCGACGTGCCGGTTGATACTTCCCGTCGTAGAGTACTAGGCCTCGAGAAATACACGCGCTGGTTTCGTGTTGGCCATGGCAACAATTTACTTGCCATACTAATTCAAACGATGGTCGCACTCGATTGCGTGTGCGAAGACGAGGGAAAGAGCGTCCCTGCGACGGACAGCTATTTTATGTTCCTTGATACGGGTACCCAGGATTTGACCCGTGTGACCATCACACGCGCAAGAGTAATCTGTTCACGGTATGCGATAAATCACGTTGGGTTGTTGTTCCTTTGCTATAGGAACCTTTGCACGTGATAGCGTTGCACGTAATGATGATGGTAGTTCGTGCCCGATGTGGATAGCGAAGGGACGTAACTGTCTGACGATTACTTCGGAATTTCCCTGCATATAAGGAATGGAGTAGAATTTTCGCGTCGTCATTTCCCCACTAGGGTTGGGGGCTTGTGGTTATGCTTGACGCCTGAGGCATTTCTTTACGAAACTGGTTGGATATCCGTTAGATCGAAACAACCAATACAGGTAAGCAAGTTCTTTCGTGAGGAGGTCGTCGCTATTGCAATAGCGATAAACCCGATGGAACAGAGTTTTGACGCAACTTCTTTTGTGAGCAGCGGGGTGGTTGCTTCCATAATTTAGGATAATATCAGCATTGGATCCTTTCCTGTAGACGCTTGTGGCTAGACTGCCATCGCTCAGTTTTTGTATTTTAAAATCAAGAAAAGGCAGCGTGTCTCCTACTGCGCTTTCATGAGTAAACTGTATGGCTGGGAAGACCTCATTTAGCATCTGGTGTAGCACTTCGACATCGTTGTCCTTTATTGTGACAAACGTGTCATCTACATAACGGAGCCACATTGTGGGCTTTAGGCTTTGAAAAACCTCTTCCTCCAATCGCTGCAATACTAATTCTGCCATTAGTCCAGATATCGGTGGGCCCATTGGGGTTCCCTTTACCCGTTGGTAGTACTTATTGACAAATTGACAGTAGTTCCTAAGGCAGAGATTGAGTAGTTCTAAGAGGTAGTGTGTTTGGATCTCCACAGGACTGTCGTGTAAGCTTTGAGTTACGCAATCAATAGCTCAGTCGTGTGGTATGGACGAAAACAAGCCAACTACGTCAAAGGATAGGAGGCATTCACCGTTAGTTACTTTGTGGTCTTGGATCCTACGAAGGAATGCCTGTGAGTTGTTGATGCTGTGCTCTGATCCATGAGGTAGGTGATTCAAATTCCTGTACAACCTCAACCATATTGTAAGTGGGTGACCCAATGAGTGGTACTTTGATCCGCAGTGGAGTATCCGGTTTGTGCACTTTTGGGAGACCATATGCACGTTCGGTGCGGGGATTACCGAGGTTCATCCACATGGCGTCATCAGGTTTCATCACTTTTTGGCGGGCGAGCTGAGTAATCTTTTTCTTGATGGCTACAGCGCTCTTTTTCGTCGAATCTTCGGCGAGGAGAGTGTAGGCGTTTGTGTCACTGAAAATTGCATTCGCCTTGTTGACATAATCCTCTTTGTACAGGATGAGACTAGCGCCACCTTTGTCAGCGCGAACAAAAATAACGCCTTGATCAGATTTGAGTGATCGCAATCCTTGCGCTTCTTCGGTCCGTAGGATTTTTTGGTGTCGTTCCTTGCGGAAATCGTCACCATGGCCAACACAAAACCAGCGCGTGAATGTATCCAGGCTTGGTACTCTACAGCGGGCAGTATCAATTGGCGCGTCGATTTGGAAGAGCAATACGGTGGTTTGAGATCAAAACATCGACGACCGCTAACCTTGTCCCATCCATATCTACCGACCAACCCTCCGCCCTCCCCCTCCCAACCGCACGCCCCCCACAAACACGCGGGTGCACAAACCATGACTCATCTTACACGCCACTGGTCCAACTGCCCTGATCACTTAAACTGTCTATTGTAATCCTTCTCCCTCACTTCCTTTTATTTCACCTGATGGAGAACACGCGTCACGAGCCCGAAAACACACAAGTACACGGTTCCAACGCGCCTAATCCTGCACAAGCGAACGCGCTTGACAATCACTTATAAGCCACTGTAACGTCTCAGACAGTGAGTTGCACACGGACTGACGAGGACATCGCCAGTCCGTCCCATTGCCGGGCTTCACCCTGAGGCAGGACATTCAGCGCGCTGGGTTCGCGCCAACGGCAACTGTCACCTGAGACAGCAACTTCGGGTTTTGTTTTCAATAAACTCTCCTCCGGGTGGCTTCAACTTTTTCGCCCTTCTTGTTGTGTACTTCATTGAGGATGCCAACGGGCGTAATTAGGCGGTGACAAAGCCAGAATTTACCGCTACAACAAGAACAACGTATCGATTTCACTGGGTGGCCAAATGTAAACTTCATCACTGGGCGCAGTAATAAACAGGCTGAAACGACCAAACAACGG